ATGCGAACCCTGCCACTGGCGCCTTCGGTGGAGCTTCCTCTGGGGCCACGATCCTCGGGAGGGGTGTGCCGAAATGGCCCGAGGCTGCCATTCGAACCCTGCCACTGGCGCCTTCGGCAGAGCTCCCCATGGGGCCACGAATCGCTGTACTGGGTGGGTGAAACGCAGGGAGGAAGGAGGAGGGGGAGGAGGCAGGAGGGGGAGGAGGAGGGAGGAAGGAGGCAGCAGGAGGAGAACGCGGGGCGCCGTCTCGTCAAAACGGGGACCCAACACCACAGGATTGCTGGAAAAAACGAAGACCCAACACCACAGGAAAATGATCCTGGCGAAGGACCCAACCACGTGCAGTTGTGAATACCGCAATTGTGAATACCATCTTCGCCCGCGCTCCTGGCCACGGCTTCCCGCCGGAGCCCGACATGCTCAGGGACACGTTCGTGGCCGTCTTCGCGGGCGCCGACGACGACAAGGACGGCGTCCCTCTCACCGAGGAGCAGAAGCAGGAAAGGGCCTTGAGAGCCATGAAGGAGGAGGTGGCGTTGCACGTCGACATGGCGGAGTACGACGCCCAGGCGCGGTTGTTGAAGCAGCACAACTATGGGGCCACGATCCTCGTGAGGGATGTGCCGCAATGGCCCGGGGCCGCCATGCGAACCCTGCCACTGGCGCCTTCGGTGGAGCTCCAGTGGGGCCACGGTCCTCGTGAGGGGTGTGCCGAAATGGCCCGAGGCCGCCATGCGAACCCTGCCACTGGGGCCTTCGGTGGAGCTCCCTATGGGGCCACGATCCTCGTGAGGGGTGTGCCGAAATGGCCCGAGGCCGCCATGCGAACCCTGCCACTGGCGCCTTCGGTGGAGCTCCCTATGGGGCCACGATCCTCGTGAGGGGTGTGCCGAAATGGCCCGAGGCCGCCATGCGAACCCTGCCACTGGCGCCTTCAGTGGAGCTCCCTATGGGGCCACGATCCTCGTGAGGGGTGTGCCGAAATGGCCCGAGGCCGCCATGCGAACCCTGCCACTGGGGGCCTTCGGTGGAGCTCCCTATGGGGCCACGATCCTCGAGAGGGGTGTGCCGAAATGGCCCGAGGCCGCCATGCGAACCCTGCCACTGGGGGCAGTCGGTGGAGCTCCCTATGGGGCCACGATCCTCGTGAGGGGTGTGCCGAAATGGCCCGAGGCCGCCATGCAAACCCTGCCACTGGGGCCTTCGGTGGAGCTCCCTATGTGGCCACGATCCGCGTGAGGGGTGTGCCGAAATGGCCCGAGGCCGCCATGCGAACCCTGCCACTGGCGCCTTCGGTGGAGCTCCCTTATGGGTCCACGATCGTCGTGAGGGGTGTGCCGAAATGGCCCGAGGCCGCCATGCGAACTCTGCCACTGGCGCTTTCGGTGGAGCTCCCTATGGGGCCACGATCCTCGTGAGGAGTGTGCCGAAATGGCCCGAGGCCGCCATGCGAACCCTGCCACTGGAGCCTTCGGTGGAGCTCCCTATGGGGCCACGATCCTCGTGAGGAGTGTGCCGAAATGGCCCGAGGCCGCCATGCGAACCCTGCCACTGGGGCCTTCGGCAGAGCTCCTCATGGGGCTACGAAACGCTGTGCTGGGTGGGTGGAACGCAGGGAAGAAGGAAGAGGGGGAGGAGGCAGGAGGGGGAGGAGGAGGGAGGAAGGAGGCAGCAGGAGGAGAACGCGGGGCGCCGTCTCGTCAAAACGGGGACCCAACACCACAGGACTGTTGGAAAAAACGAAGGCCCAACACCACAGGAAAACAACGATTTCTGATCGTGCGGGTTCACTGTGTCCTCTTTTCTGCCCCCCCGCAAGAAGCGGTCCGAGCTCGTCCCGCGGCGGCCATCGGCCATGTCGAGCTCCAGGCCGTAAGGGAGCCAGCCGCTGGCGGCCCAGCTGCGGTCCTCGGGAGGGGCAAGGAGGCGACGTGAACACCGCCTTCCGCCCACCCGACGTCCACCCCGGGCCTTCCGCGCGTGATCGCTGCCACGGCGTGGCTGCCCAGGGGTCTGGACCACTCCGCGGCACCGATGTTCCATCCCGAATCACTGTTTGACGGCACAGGGGCCTGGCAAGGGCCCCAAGAGACCCAACAATAACAACAACAACAACAACAACAACAACAACAACAACAACAACAACAACAACAACAACAACAACAACAACAATTACTAGCACGTGGGGACACTCCGTTCTCACCAGTGCCAGGGTTTTCATAGGAGGCGGGCAATACCCCCACTTTGTGGGGGGGCCGGTTCAAGCTCTACCAAATTTCCAAACGACTCTTCGCCACCACCCACACCCAGCTTCCCGCCCTATGACGTTCGGACACTTCACTTCGTGGCATGCGGACGACCGTGGCTACTATTCAGGGCCCCGCGGCCGACGACGACGGCGTGCGCGCGCGAAGAAAAAACGAATGTGTCCCGCATGGTATTATTTGACAGGGATGATGGCCCTGGCAGGTGCGCAACCGTTGTCGCAGAAGTTCGAAAAAGTTGCTCGCAAAAGCCCGTTTGACAGAAATGTTTAAAAAGTGTTGGGTTTCCTACGAATCCGCAAGAGCGCGCGGGATGAGATTTTGACATTTTTTTGTTGAAAAACCATTGGTTTTTTGATGTTTTTATGTTAAAATCGCTACGAACACTAAGGTTTTGGAAGGATTTCGTCTTGCGCGCGCGAATGTCCACTTTACCTTATTTTTTGCAAGGGATTCTTGAAGTTTGGTTATGTTAGAACAAGAAATGTCCACTTTAGCTTATTTTTTGCAAGGGAAAACGGGGGACAACAAAACAACCGGATCCGGACACCCACGTTTTGCCTGAGACTTCCTCACGAAAATGATGAAAATGTGGCTGCGGCCTAGGCGCGGCGAGGGGGCCGCGCACCAGGGGTCCCAACAATAATTATTCTTTAGAATAAATAATGTTCAACAACAACAACAACAACAACAACAACAACAACAACAACAACAACAACAACAGCAACAGCAGCAACAACAACAACAACAACAGCAGCAGCAGCAACAGCAACAGCAACAGCAACAGCAACAGCAACCGAACAACAACAACAACAACAACAACAACAACAACAACAACAACAACAACGAGAACAACAACAGCAACGACAACAACAACAACAACAACGATAACAACAACAACAACAACAACAACGACGACGACGACGACGACGACGACAACAGCAGCAGCAGCAAACAACAGCAGCAACAACAACCACATTCATTTGAAGACTGTTCGCTCTTCCCTGCTCGCGTGCCACTCAACACCTACATCCCAAACCCTCTATATCTGCCCTCTTTGTTTTCAATCGTGGGATGAGGGAAAAGAGTCTCCTCTCCTGGGCGGTGGTAGCGACGTCGCCGTGGCCGACAGCGCCCTTCGGGGGCCTGTCGTACGAGCGCCTGCAGCCCTGGAGTTGGGCAAGCGCGCTCTCAAGTTGGTCCTGCGCTTCGCCGCTCAGCAGCGCCAGTCTGCCTGGCAGGGGTGGGGGAGGGCGGTGACCACCGCACCAGCATGGCAATCCTGCGTGGGGGTTGGGGGCGGCACCAACCAAGATTTGCCTCACTGACGAAATGCACGTGGGCACCCAAGCATCACCATACAATATGTTGCCACGATGGCGACCACTGTGCATGCTGTCGTTTGGTGGGCAGAGACCTTTCCCACTCGTTGGTGAGGACCCCATGTCGAGAACCCTGCCTCAACGGCGCCTCGCCATCGTCCGCTGATGGGCGGATACCCCTCAACATTCGCAAAGCATGGTTGCCATGCCGCCTCGTCTACGACTGCCACCGTTGCGGGAAAAGAGCGCCGCGGCAAGAACACTGTCTCCACCAGGCAATGTGGCTTGTGCTCAGGCAAGAACGGTACCATCAAGAGAACTACAATCTGCTGGATTAAGAAGTGCGGGCTGCAGAGGTCGCGAAAAATGCGCAACGAGGTTCCCGTTAGTCCTCGGGGCCCTGGTACAATGTTGCAGAGAGCAGCCCAAGGACTCGCCAGTCGCTCAGTAAGGCGACCGGATAGTGTTTCTGGAAGAAGTATTAACTGGAATCGCGATTCTCCGGTTCCTCCATCATCCCTTTTGCTATTAAAACCGCCAAATGGCGTGAGGAACGGAGACTCGCGATCCACCCAATAGTTCCTCCAAAAACACTCTCTGGTCGCATTCCTGAGCGACTGGGGAATTTCTCTGGCGACCAAAACCGCGATTTCACCTGGGGCTTCCTCAGCAAAAATTATCCGGTCCCATGTCAAGCCGCCCGAGAATTGCGACTTCGTGTGTGAATTTCTCAATACGGGAACAGATCCGGTCCATTGCCGAGCTTTCGGAGGATTGCGCTGGTCCGCATTTTTTAATCCAGAGGGCTGTAAAGGCATTAAAATGACCTATCAATGTGGTAGTGGCTCTGTACGCAGGTGATACGAATGAAAGTCAACAGGATGCGTACTACCAGCTAAAAACCAGGCACTGCCGTATCACTAGCACACGGCCGAAGCGGCAACCGTAGCAACACTAGTTGAGGCACCAGCAGCGGCAGTAGCAGGAGCAGTGACGTTAGTAATAGTGGCAGCAGGCGTTACCCACAGAGCTGAAAATGGTGCAACGGATAACGACCCAAGAATTTTCAGCACAATCAGAAGTAGTCCTAACCGTGGATGCAGTGATATATGTAGTGGGATGAGCACCATCCGTGGCGATGTTAGCCGCATCGATGGCGAAGGTGGAAGTTATCTATGTTGTATCACTCGCACACGTAGGACGAGTAGCAACAACGACATATCAGCCTCACGTTCAGGAGCAGCAGCACCAGCACCTGCCAATGACAGCAGCAGGACGTAGCAGTAGCAGTGTCGCTAGCAGCGAAGGCACCCGTGGAAAGAATCCAGCAAGGGCAGCAGCAGCACATGTATCAGTGAAGAACATGCCAGCAGGGGCGGCTCCAGTAACAGCATCAGCACAAGCAACAGCATCAGCAGCGGCAGCAGCAGTGGTAACTGCAACAGTCGCACAAGGCAGCATCAGTAGTAGCAGCGGAATCCGAAGCAGCGGCAGCAGCAACACAATGGCGTCACATGCCACTCTGGCAGTTGGAAACGAAGGAAAAAACAAGAGCATGCATAAGCGATAGAAGCAACATTCGTAGAACCTGTAGCGCTAGCAGCGGCTTCAGCAGTGGCAGCGGCAGTGGCAGTAGCAACTCAAACAGCAGCAGCGGAAGCAAGATGATAGAAACCACACCACCGTATCCATGGTGATGGTTTCACTGGTGGTACCAGTCGGTGATACCAGTATGGGCTGCAATGATCGTGCCATCAACGCTGCCGTAGCATCCTGAACCTTAGAAATACTAGTCGCGGTCGTGCTCGGTAGCGGCAGCTGGTGAACAAGCAGAGGCACTAGTAGCACCAGTATGTGTAAACAAGAGATCGCTTGAATTCGTTGTGTAGCTGGTAGACGTAATCGTGACGCTTGTCATAGAAGCGGCTGCAACAGCAGACGCCATGCCTGTGGCAGAAGCAATGGATGTAGCAGTAACGGCAGGATCTGTGATAATAGCACCAGCAACACCAATAGCAGCCGCAGTCCCACAGCTCCTGTAGGATGAGCATGATTACCCCGAGCTATTATGCACGCAAGTGCCGACATGGTAGCAGTGGCGATAGTGGTCGTAGAAGTAGACCAGGCATCGTCAGCCGGACCGGAAATTTCAACCCCATCAGTGCTCGCATCATTAGCAGCATCACTTGCCAACAGTTGCAGGAGTAGCAGCGCTGAAATCACAAGGCGTCAGCATTCGCAGTGGTAGCGAGAGCGTCACGGGTAGCAACACTAATAGTGGTGGTCCTAATCATACCGCAGGGCATAAAGACACCAGACGCACACCACGAGTAGCATGACGAGCAGAACCTCCTGGCTTTCCTATGGCAAGCCCGTACCACCAAAAGACATGAAGTCGGCCACCTAGGACTCCGCAAAGGAAAATGCGCACATAGCGCGCTTCGGCAGTACAACAACCAATCGTGCGTCACAAATCACGCGGACAACCAAAAACGCAGTACCAAAGCAGCACATGTTCTCTAGCGTTTTTACATAACCGCCAACCGATCGCCAAAACCAGCCTCATGCGAATGCCACCAGACAGCCACGTGTGACCAAGATGCTTCCAAGAGGGCCTCAAGGAGGACCCCAGGAGCATCCAAAAGGGCCACAAGAGCCAAGCATAGGACAAGAAGAGTCAAGACAGACCCCAAGAGCCGCACCCCCCCCCCCCCAAAAAAAAAAAAGAAAAGCATGATTGAAGGAGCGTTTGCCATCTCGCCTTCTTTACACTTTTTGATGTGCGGGGCGAGAGCGAACCTCTTCCGCGAAAAGCTAGGCGGGCTACGCACAGCTTTAATTAGGGAGACGGGGCACAAACGCCTCCTTTACACATGGAGCCCCAAGATGGCCGTCGGAGACCCACAGAATGATTCAAAACTACACTGAATTGCACGGCAGGGGCCCCAGGCCCCCAACATGCCCCGAAGATCGCCCACTGCGACCGAACAGGGCCCCAAGACAGCCCTGGGAAACCCCACGGGGGCCCGTATAGCCCCCAGATGCCCCGTGGTGCTCCTGAGATCACCCAAGAGGGGTCCAAAGTGGCCCCACGACGAGGATGTCACAAGAGATCCCACAACTGCCCCAAAAGGCCGCAAGATTGCCACAAGAAGCCCCGAGATGCGTACCCTCAAGCAGGCTTTAAAGACCAAGAGGGTCCGGAGAAACAGATGGGGCAGCCCTCCCGACAACCACCATCGCCATAAAATCCTCCGTCGCCAACAGCACCACCAAAGTCAGCTCAACGTCGTCGCCGTCGTCGGCGGCATCATGGGAGCAAGGCGCAACGTCCTGGCCATCGTGATCGTCGCCGTCAAAATCTCCATCGCCACCGTCGTTACCATTAACTATGATCGCGATTGCGCCGACATTCGACCTGCGCCGCGCACAACTCCCGAGAGGTAGAACGGGCTGCTCGGCGACATCGACGTCGCCGCCTCCGCCATCGTCGCCACACCTCGGTGGCTCACGATCGTGGTCGTGGTCGTCGTCGTCGTCCAATTCGTCCATGTCGACGCCGTCGTCCACCACGTCGTCGTCGTCGCTGGCCTGGCGGAACGCCCCTGGGCAACCGTCCCTGCCAGCGCGTGGGCACCGGGCCCGTCAGGCGACCCGGCGGACCGACCTGAGGGGCGTGCCAGCTTTTGGAGCCGCCTGGGGGTCCGAGGTCGCCCAGCTCTGGTTCCGGCCAGCAGGAAGGGCAGACAAAAGTTCGAGACGCTCGGCGCGGGAAGGTTTTTTGCCTCTGCTGGCCTCCAGGAGCGGTTTCCGGGCCCCGAGGCCAAGAAAAACGGACCCACGAGGAAGAACTGCACCGGGTGGACCCCGGCAGGAGTCTGGGGAACCACTTTGAGCGGATTTGACTTCATCTCCTCTCCCGGCAGATGTCCTGGGGGTCCAACCAGTTCAGACACCCCAGCCGCCTCCAAGTGCCAGTTCTCCTCCCTCCTCCTGCATGTTGGCAAAACCTCCCCTGGCGCGCGGAGAGCATAAACAAGAGGACCAGAAAAGGGCACAGGAAACAGCTTTCGAGGTCCGCGTGGATGGACTCCTTGGCTCGGCGCTGGACCCCCCTTCCTGCCATCCCTGTCAGCGCATGTGGCGCCGCCCGCGGCGCAACCTGCGCGCCGGTGAAGGGTTGTAAGCAAAGGGGTCCAGCGCCGACCCAGGAAATGCACGCGGATCTCCGAAAGTCTACATTAATGCCGCCCTCTCCTCCTCCTTCTCCTCCTCTTCTCCCCCCTCCTCCTCCTCCTCCTCCTCCTCCTCCTCCTCCTCCCTCCCTCCCTCCTCCCTCCCTCCCCCTCCCTCCCTCCTCCCTCCCTCCCTCCCTCCTCCTCCTCCTCCTCCTCCTCCTCCGCCTCCTCCTCCTCCTCCTCCTCCTCCTCCTCCTCCTCTCCTCCTCCTCCTCCTCCTCCTCCTCCTCCTCCTCCTCCTCCTCCTCCTCCTCCTCCTCCTCCTCCTCCTCCTCCTCTCCCTCCTCCTCCTCTCCTCCTCCTCCTCCTCCTCCTCCTCCGCCTCCTCCTCCTCCTCCTCCTCCTCCTCCTCCTCCTCCTCCTCCTCCTCCTCCTCCTCCTCCTCCTCCTCCTCCTCCTCCTCCTCCTCCTCCTCCTCCTCCTCCTCCTCCTCCTCCTCCTCCTCCTCCTCCTCGCGCTTTCGCAATGTATTGTGCGCCACACGTCTACAGAGAGGCCGTCGACGGCGGCCCCGGAGGGAGAGCTGTCGGTGTCTGCAGTGGCCGACCGACCCCGATGCCCTGGGTGCGCCAGCGTTGATGTCAGACCTATATGACCACCCTTTGGGTGAGAAGGAGGTTTGGGGGGGAAAGGAAGCCCCACTGACAACAACTGCGATAATTGTGATGGCGATGAGATGGCGCCATCGGTCCCACGGACTTCACAATCGATCTCACCGTCGGTCTCTCACTATTGCTCTCGATATCGATCGCACTATCGATCTCACTGTCGATCCTACTATGGATATCAATAACGGTATCATAAGAGATCTCACTATCGACCTCACAAGAGATCTCACGAGACACCATCGGGACACCACGATGGGGCACCCCCAGCCACAGCGGGGCACCCCGAGCCAAAGATCTGTTGTGATCGATCTCACAATCGATCTCACTATCGATCTCTCGATCTCATGATCGATCTCACGATCACGCAGTCGATCTCACTATCGATCTCACAACTGATCTCACGAGCTACCACCGAGACACCACGGCGGGACACCCAGAGCCACCGTCGGGACAACCCGCGCCACAGACGGGACACCGACGGGACACCGACGCGTCACCGACGGGACATCCCCGGCCACCGCGCGCCGCGGGGGGGTGGGGGGTGGGGGGGGCGGACAACCGGCCCCACAGCCCCGAGCCGTGGCGGCATCATACCTCTCGCGCGCCCACGCAGCTTCGCCTCTCCCGCACGCACGGCACGAGCGCGAAACCGAAACCGAGTTCCAGGTGGGGGGGCTCTCCGTTCCACTGCGATCTCACCCCCAACCTCCGATCCTCTTGGGGGTCACCTCCCGTCTCCGCCGGCTGCCGCCGAGCCTCCGCGGGCAAACGCAGCCCTCACCCTACCTCGGCGAGGCCTCCGCGAGCCTGCTGCGTGCCTCCGCCTTCGGCGAGAGGTCGGCTTTCCGCGCCCTCGACGACGAAGCCCTCTTCGAAACGCCCTGACCGTCTCTTCGCTTGGGGGGGGGTCGGTTCCCGGAGGCAACGGGAGGCTCCCTGGAGGCCAAACCCGACACAGCCACGAACCCCCGACCCCTGGAGCCGCACAGGTGGGCACGAGTCGAGAGAAAGAGCAGGGCAAGGACGGGAATGCGGGCAGGTTGCCCCACTTTGGTTCCCGCGTTGTCCATTTCCCCAGTGAGATCTTGTTGGGGCCCACACAGATTGCACCACAAGTGCCCAAGAGGCTTACGCCATCCGTTCCGCCGAACCCCATTACAGTGAGTTCGTCAAGAATCGCGCCGCACTGCCCGGCCTGGGTCAGGAGCCTTGGAGGCGCATTTGAGGGTCTCCTGGAATACATCTCAGGGGCCTCTTGGAGGACCCTTGGGGGCATCTGATTGGCTTTGGGGGGCCTCTCGGGGGCCTCTTAGGTACATGTTGGAAACCTCTTGGGCTTAGCTGCCCCGATACGCAACACGCAACACGTAGCGTGTTGACACGGTGCTCAACACGTAGACTGAAAACGTAGGTATGACGCGATGCGTTCGCCAAAGCGCGGGCCAATACGTTGAGCCAACACGCAACATATCGACACGGACGTGTTGAGCACGGCACGTCTTGCGTCTCACAACGGGCGTATCGAGGCAGCTGAGCTCTTGGGGCCTCTCGGAGGCGCCTCGGGGCTTACTGGGGGGGGGACTCAGGGCCATCGCAGCGGGAAAGACTCAAGATGTCTGTTCGTCTTGCCCGCCCCTCTTGGGCCCCTCTCTTGGGGCCCTCCTGGTCCGTCTTCGGGGCCGCTGGGGCCGTCTCCGAACCCTCTTGGGCCCTGCTGGGGCTCTAGTGGGCCGTCTTAGGGCCCTCTGCAATCGTCTCGCCACATGCGCGCGAAACGAATCACCAGCCGGCGCGCCAAAAGCGTGCCGACCTCGCAAACACGATGAAGGAAGGAAGCTGAAGGTGGGAGAAGGCAGACGGGAGCAGGAACAAGGAAGGGCAGAGGGAGCAGTGCGATGGGATTATTGAGACGAACGGAGTTGGTATCTCGGAAAATCTGTGCTCGAAAGGTGCACGCAATGCACAAGCTGCAATTGCATACGCTGCTACTGTCCACATGGTGACCGTGCCCAAATGGTCAGAAGCAGTGCATCTGCAAGACGCGTTGGCAAAAAAACATCCGGATCACTGATGGACCCGTGATTGGTGTTGTGCCTACCTCCAGGATGCGATGGCGCGCGGCCGAAAAGCGAGCGCATCACGACTGTGAAGCTGAGGCGCCAGAGCACAAAACGACTCTGATGCAGAAAATACACCGCCTGACTGTGAAGCACTCAACACAACACATACAAGCAGCCGGAGGCATGCACAGGACACAGGGGGCTCTCGGCGGCAACACGACAGTCGCCACCAACAGCTCGTCCAAGGGAAGCGTTCAAGGGAAGGCAGATGCAAGACGAGAGACCACTCGATCACCCCCCTTCTCAAGCCCACTGCCCTCCTCCCCCGACGACCCGCAGATGCAGGAGAACGAGCGAGATACCATGCGCCTCGCGCTTGCGAGGTCCATCGCCAGGGGCACTCCTCACGTCCACAGCGCTCACGAGAGGCGCTGTGGCCAAAGTCGAAATGCGCAAGCTTGTGTGCTGGGACGGACCGCGACGTCAGGACGACCATATCCTGCCACGGGCCGCCCTGCTGCGACAAGCCTCCTGGAACGGGCCGCGCCACAGCACGGGCGACCACGGGCGCTGGAGCTCGGACGAGACGAGATGGGACAGTGGGAGATGACAGAGCCAGAAAGAGAGAGACAGAGAGGGGAAGCAAAAACAATATGTATATATGTGTATACATCTATGTGTAGATATATACATATATCTAAACAAAAACAAACAAACAAACAAAAAAAAACAACCAAACAAAAAAACAAAAAAACAAACAAAAAAACAAAAAAACAAAAAACAAAAAAAAAAAAAAAAAAAAAAAAAAAAAAAAAAAAAAAAAAAAAAAAAAAAAAAACAAAAAAAAAAAAAAAAAAAAAAAAAAACGATAACCCAGCCAAGAACGGCGTGCTTCTCAACTCCCCAGGGCCTCCATCGACCCCGACTCCTCCTCCTCCTCCTCCTCCTCCTCCTCCTCCTCCTCCTCCTCCTCCTCCTCCTCCTCCGCATCGGGCCAGAGGCGCGAGAGGCCGCGAGGCCGAGGTCGCGCGCCTGCGCGCCGCCTCCTCCGACGGCGCAGCGGCCAGAGAGCAGGCACAGGCAGGCTATGATTACTTCGGGCGTGTCGCCCTACAGGGGGATTTTCGACGAAGAATAAAAAATACTCAAAAAATGCCCCAAAATGGCCAACAAATACTCAAACAATAGTCCCCCGACTATTTTTTGCCTATTTTTGAATGTCCACCCTGTAGAGGGACAGGCCCGACTTACGGCTACGAAGATCATCACCTCTCCTCGACGCTTCTGCCTCCTCCCACGCATCATCTCGTCGCCGTGCAGTGGCTTGAGGCTTCCAGAGGCGTGGGTTTGGGGAGACTCGGATGGGCAGTCAGCCGAGAAATGCGTGACAGACAGGCTCGAGGAGTCAAGCCTTTCGCCCCCCCACCGATGTTTGCCGCAAAGGGGAGGAGATCAAGGGCCTCATGCTTGTTGTAAAGTTTGACACGGAGAAGGACGTAACCAAAGTCGCGAAGGAGATGCGCGGGAGCAAGGAGAAAGCAGGAGGGAACGAGGTCTGGTGCAAGCTTGACTGGCCAATCGTGGAGCGCGCCCAACTATCCTACCTTCTTGGCTTACGGTGGCAACTTTTGAATTGGGATTTTTTCAAGAGCGAGTTGAAGGTCGATGAAGCTACCATGACTCTGAAGGCGCGCAAGGTCCCGGTGCTCAGGATCAAAGTCGAGAACAACCGATTGGCGAACGATTGGGTGGACCCAACGT